AATGTATAAGTATATTGTATATAATTTTGTATAAGTCGTTCTGTATTTTCAATTTTGTCAAGGTTTTGTTTTTGTAATTTTGCTTATACTTGCATTTTCGGTTTTGAAGATAGTTCTAATTTTATTTTATCCTAATTTTCAATTTCGTTAAAGATTGTTCTTAAAATATTTTGGATAATAATTCAAACAAACATTTTAATTTTTAAATGTTACATTTAGATTGATTAAAACTTGTATTTGCTTTATTATATAAACTTTTAACAATTGCTTTCTTTCATAGTTATCGTGTGATTTGAGTAAAGATTTAAATTTCAATTTGTAGAGTAGTATTTGTATATACCAAAGTTTCAAAATTGTTTAAAGTTTTCTGAACTAATTTATCGAGAAAAGGAATTTGGCTGTTTTGTTCTTTTCCTAGTGATTATATTAATTTAATGCACTACTGTGAATTTAAATGATATGTTAATATGTAAAGTAGGTAGCATAGATATTTTTAATTTTATTAAATTTAATTCACGTAAGTTGTAAGTTTTGAAATAATATTTCAAGATCCAGATCCGTCGGGTCTTTTCAAAGAGTTCCGATCCGCCCATTACTAATTACAGATAACATAATATTATGTTGAAAAAAAATTTTTGCATGTTTTTTAAAGGTAAACATACATAACTTGCACTATTGGGCGGTGAAAAATCCTTACTGGATCAGAACTGTGCCAAACCAACATCTCTGGCCGCTTAATGTTTCGTGTGGTATACTTCGGAATAGTATTATTGGTCCCCATTTTTTTTTGAAAGACATTTAAATGCAATATGTACTGGTTGGGCCAAATTGGACACTTTTAAAAGGAAACTCCCATTTCTATACCAGATAGACAAAATATGAATGACGAAAATCATATGTTAATATCTCTAACAGCATCCGCGATACAGCGTCTTTCAGAAATATACACTTTTAAACTTTCTTCGGAAACATTTCCAAAGCACTTTTTTGCGTAGTATCCAATGATGTAAGTTTCATTCGTGGTAAGAAAGTACTTTCCGAGTTATTAACAAAAAGCTATCATCATCAGTCAACCATCTCGTGTCTACTGCTGGACGTAGGTCTCTCTCATTCTTCTCCATGCATCTCGGTGCTGTGCTGCCTGCATCCCGTTGCTGTGCTGCCTGCATCCAGTTGCTGTGACAGCATTTCAGATCATCTGATTGGTGGATGGTCTCGGCTTCGCTAGGCTTCCTGTCTCGACCTCCACCCCAATAATCGTTTTGTCCATCTGTTGTCCGTCATCCTGGAGACGTGTCCTGCCCAATTCCACTTGAGGGTTGTTATCTTTTTTATCGCGTCTAGCACTCCCGTTTGCCATCGAATCTCTTGGTTTCGAATTCGTTGTCTGAGAGAAATACCCAACATGACGCGTTCCATAGCTATTTGTGCTACGCGAATTTTATGCACTGTTTTGTTCGTAAGTGTCAGGGTCTCTGCTTCATAGGTAAGAGCTGGCAGCACGCACTGATTGAATGTTTTCCTTGTAATTCTGACTGGGATATGTGATTTGTAAACATAATTAAGTTTGCCGAAATCTACGCAGGCCAATCTAATGCGGCGGTTTAGTTCGATGGTTTGGTTATTGGTTATATGGCCAGCAGTTATATGGTTGGTGGAATGGTCTCTTCCGGGGATTCTTAGCACCCTCTGCTCCAATTCCGTTCTGAACGCCACCTTGGTCAGGGACATTGGAGCCGCTGAGGACTGAGGGCCGTGTGTAGGATGTATCTTCCATGAATGAGGGAAAAAATTTGACCTTTTTCGCTGGCCAATTCGGGTTGGTAGCGGGTCTTCTTGAAAACAGCATTTCCGTTGTTTCCCGATGGGATGGTTATACCGCCATGGTTCGGTCGACAGCGCCGTTTTTTGTTTTCTAGCAGGGTGCACCGGATGACCGAAGTCATCGCTCGAGCAGGCGAGGTTGTCGTTTGGGTTGGCTTATTTTGACCAATATCTAGTCATCACCCCTTGCACCCGTTGCAACAAAACAGACATTCTGCACCAATCTGAAATATACTACCCGAGACTCACCAGAGAGGCCATCGAAATATTTAAACACCAAAACAATTTTAACAGAAAAGAAGAAATTACGGCACTCAATCCAGATTGGAAGCGCGTTTTGCGCCAAACAGCATGTGCGCCGAATCGTTGGAACCCCCACCCATCCCCCCCCGCATGAGCACACACGGCTGGGCTGCATAAATACGACGGGGAATCCAGCAGTTGAGTCTTAGTCGGAAAGCACGGGAGATCACTTCGCCCACTGCCTCATCGCCTTTGATAATGTCCACCGCAGTTGTGGAAGAAATTCCCATAGACCACGGCTTCAAAGCCCGGAAAACATTCCTAAATGTGATTAACCGGCCGTGAAAGCCTTCATAGTCTGATAAAACAGACATCTTTTTAAATTGGCACAAATATAAAAATATAGCACTATCTAGGTTTTGCTCAACTATTAAATCAAATATAGATGTTTAATTGTTAATTTTTTTCAAGTCTAGACTCCATGTGCCCGCTTTGTAGCGACAAGTAGGCTTTGGACGACGAGGCGAATGTGAATGTCAGTACTAGCATTTGTCAAAGTTTTTTTTTAATGCTGTAAAGATCTTGCTTATTTCTGACTTTTAGTGAAATTATCGGAATTAATCTGAAATGAAATATGAAAATTGTCAAAAGTGAGATATGATAGTTTCCTTCATACAAACGGAGTAGAATTCAGAAGCTGTTGTACCAGGAACCGTTTCCAGAGAGAAGACAACATTGAGAGATATTTTCGCAATATTTCAACGTAATCAAAAAAATGACGGCCAATTAGAAATGAAACGACCAAAAAGATATAAATCAAATAGGGAAAGAAGTAGAAGAGAGTTAGAAGAAATAACATTATTATGAACTGTTGCAAATAACCCCAAAACACCAATGCGAAATTTAACTCTATGAACCGGTCTGCCAAGAACTACAGTTAGGCGAACTTTGCAAAAATATAATTTTAAATCGTTTAGGAGGAGAAAAGTTTACCATCTCAGATCTGGAGATTATGAACGCCAAGTAAAAGTTTGGCGATGGTTCCTGGAAAATTGTCGCCAAGTGTGCTACTTTCCGTTGAATTCTATATGAGCAGACGATGCATATGTAACTAGAGCTGGCATTTTCAACCGCCACAACTATACGTGGTCACAACATAATCCTCATTCAGATGTTGAACAGAGAAATCAATGGACATTTGGGTTTAACGTGTAGGCAGGTGTTTTCCTAGATGGAACTATCGGTCCATTTGTTTTTGATGGTATTCTAATATCACAAAAGAACTTAGATATTTTAAGTTCTCAAAAAAATAAAGTAAGAAGTTCTCAATAAATTTTTAGCAAAGGTGTCTTCTATGCAATTGGGAAAGCGGTGGACAATTCGAACATCTATTGAAGGGTGTGTTTTGTTCTTGTTAGTTGAATGTGATGGTTTCGAATATACCGCTGCAATAACGATCTATTTTTTTAAACTGTATTTTATTGCTAAATTAACGGTTGTCATTTAAACTTGAAAAACTTTAAATCTCTATATTTCATAGAATTCTTATGTGAAACATATAATGTGATATGTTTGTAAAGGTACTTTCAAGCGCAAGTTCAATATGACAAAATATACAGAGTGTCCTATTCAGAAATATATATGTTCTATTAATAACTAGAAAAATATTTGCTTGCCGTATATGAAATTTAAATTATCCGATGCTACGTGAAAAAGTGCGTTGTCAATGTTTTTGAAGAAAGTTTTAAAAAATCACAAGAAAAGAGTTAGAGAGCCTTTCCAAAAATGCAAATTTCTGAAAAAGACGCTGTATCTCGGAAGTTGTTAAATATATTGACATACGGGTTTTTGTCTATCTGGTTTAGACATGGGAGTTTCCATTTAAAATTGTCCAATTTGGCTCACCCTCTACATCAACTTTTTAAGAAACAGTTAACACTAGTTATTGAATCAGAACATGAAAGTGTGGTTTCAGCAATATGGTGCTCTACCCCATTAAGCCGTGCAGGCCCGTAGTCATTTAGATGAAATATTTCTAACAAATGGATTGGTCGCGATGGTCCGGTCAAATGGCCTCCGCGATCTCCAGATATGACGCCGCTTCATTTTTTGTGGGGTTTTATAAAAGATAAAGTGATGGCTACTGCACCCACCACCTCAGATGATATGAAGGACAGTTTTCGCTCTGCCTGCTTGCTAGTTACACTTGAAATTCTTGAAGAAAAAAAGTGTTTGAAAGTTGACGACAGGCATTTTGAACATCTCCTGAAACATAGTTGATTACTATTAGTGGTCATAATTTAATAAATTATTTTTTTAAATATTATGTTGTACGTCATAATTCTGGAACTAAGTGATCAAATGACATTTTGAGAAATTTGTACACGTACATAGTTTCTTATGTTGATTTAAATTTCATAATCAAAAAGTCAGTTACCTTGACTTCTCATAGAAGGCACTTAAGTAAAATAATAAAACAAATGTTAAAATACGTCCCCCTACCCATTTCGTAGTTTTTCCAAAATTGTATAATTGTATTTAATCTCACTCTCACTTTAAAAAACTCACCCTGTATAGCAAACTAGGGTTATTTTCGCACCCAGAATACGTGGTTAAAATAATGCCCCTTCTTCATGAAACACCTTGTATTTACATGACAAGTTAAAGATTGACGGTGCTAACATTTCTTCTGAACAATTCATTATAAATAATAAATGAATATATGTTTTTCCTATCGATTCAATTTGAAATTGCTGATACTTTACCAAAACAATAGCGGTAGTCATATATGCCAATTAAGAGAAAACCGATGACATTTTCAACATATGTGTTCAGTATTAAATACATTGTATTAAGTAAACCCTTATGAAAACTGCAGTAAAGTCTAAATCATTAGCTGAAGCCTCCAATTAAACTAAAATTCTTTGTTTTAGACCCCTCTGCATGTATGTGCGGAATATGGTCACTTGAACAACATTAAGACTTTGCTGCAACATAATGCAAACATCCAGATAAAAGATGGAAATGGATTAACTGCATTAAATGTTGCTGAAAACTGCGGACAAACCAAATGTGCTCAACTAATTAAAGAAGCTGCTGGTAAGTTTTCCTTTTCATTAAAAATTTCGGAATTACATTTGGAGCGGTATTACCGCGTCACTCGCAGTTTCAGTTTTATTAAGTTCAAAATATTAGGTGTACAAATACTGTTTTTTTTATTACCAATAAGTATAACCATATATTGTATATCTGGTATTATGTACATTGTGTAGGTATACGTAAAACCATTAGGTAGAGTCAGATTATTTAGTAAGAGTACATTGTTTTCTGGTCTCGCGAACAACTTTTTCAGGTTTATGGGACGGTTCCAAAAAACAACTTGAAGTCGGCAAACGGCTGCAGCTGAATAGATCGCTCGACGTTGTCGCATCGGTTCTTATGATCCCATGACTTTTGACGGTTTTATGAGACGGTTCCAAAAACAATCTTTAAATCAGCAAACGACTGCAGCTGGTGCGAAGTGCGCACAACTGTTTCAGTTTTATGAGACGGTTCCAAAAACAACCGTTGAAATCGGCAAACGGCTGCAGCTGGATAGATCGCTCGACGGTGTCCGAAGTGCGCACCGCTATTTCGGTTTTATGAGACGGTTCCAAAAAAACCGGTTAAATCGGCAAACTGTAACTACGGTTTCGGGTTACACCTTTGGAACACTTAGCGGTTACGTTAAATACCGACCATCCATAGTCGGTATACATCCGTATCGGTACTGGTACTGGTTACTGGCATTGATTCCCAGTTAGTTTAGTTACTCTGAACGAGTACTCGGTATTAATAGGTATAGGGATTCGGTACTGGTACTGATTACTGGGTCTGATTACCAGTTACTTTAGTTACCAGTTAGTATGACCGAGTACGAGTTGTAGCGCATTCGGATTAGGGCTCGAAGGTTAGGATGGGTTACTTGATTTTCCGACAACGATTACTGATTTCTTGAGTACTCGTTTGATAGCTTGGTTCGGTATTATCTACTTCGGATACTGATGAGTAACGAGTACTCGAATACCGATTAGTTACTTTTTTCCCACCACTAGTGGCAAGTGCACTTCTTTTAAAAAATCCATCACTTCCTTAATTTTATCTAGCAACATATTCACGACTTCTAACGCATGTTTGATAACCAAGTTTAAGGTGTGTGCAAAACATCCAAAATGCTTCTGTTTTAGTTCATTTACTACTGCATTTTTAATGTTTGCTGCGTTGTTGGAGATGACAGGTAATATTTTAGCAGTCAAGTGGTACTTATTCGTTATTTCTGTAATCTCTTTGGCTAAATTTTTGCTCGTAAGTGACAGACATTAGCGCCCCATATACGAGCGAAATATCTGTCATAGCTTATTCTTGGCGAGCCAAATTCGAAGAAATATCGGTGCGTTAATGGTTAACCACGAGCCAGATACGACTCGATGCAAATTTCGTACAAATTAAATCTGCAGATCTGGACTTGCGAGCAAATTTTGCCGTTGGTGGGTACGGGCCAATACTAGTATAATCATACAGGGTGTCCCAAAAGTAATGGCACAAAACAAAATGGCGGATTCCTGGGGTGAAAATATGATGATTTAACACAACTCACCTTAGTCCAAAAGTTAACTGTTGCCGACTTTGCACGGAGTTGCATATTTTAACGAAATTTGGTATACAGTTGTTTTTGAGCATAGGGAATCCAAATCTGCCGTCAGCTTTTGATCAACTCGTAGAAAGCCACTTGCGGCGATATCTGGGCAAAAAAAATGTTTTAACTTTTTGGTCACCCTGTATTCTGACTTCTAAACTAGTTGGGTCTAATCGCGTATTAATTTGGCACAAAAAAGGTATTCTTAGTCGATGTCTCAACAAGCCTCTATTTCCGAGATATTTGCGATTAAACCGCAAAGTGCAGAATTGTGAGAAAATTTTACAATGCATGTCAAGTAGTGTGACGCAGCGACACGGATTTATTTGGTGTCTGTCATAGTGACACTAGTGCCACTACATACTTAAGTGTTGATTTCAATTAGTTAATATACCAAGGCATATTTTTTTTCATAAACCAACACTTTAGAAATCGGTTATCTTGGAAGTTCTTCTGTATGGTCCTTCTTATCGCAAATGCAGATTAACGCCATTCTCATCCTGTATTCTCCCGAATAAAGACGTTTTTTAAAAACAAGTTCGTTTGAGACCCCGTTGTAACTATCCTCTCGTTCTGGAAAATGGATGCTGTTGCTGTAGGATCCGAGATTGAAGGCAGCGCTCCGATTTCAAGTTAGAGCCTATCTGTTGTGCCTGAAAAAACTACCCGTTTTAACTTCACAACCCGGTTCGAAATAAAAGCCAAAAACTAGCTTAAGTACTTTAATTAGCAGACAAAAATACTCCGAACAAAAGAACAACTAAACAATATATATAAAACGCCGCAAAACAAAACAACGGTGTGGTACTAAACAAAAGCAGGCCTTTTTTTTTTTTT